GCCACACAGCAGAAAAACCGTAGGTTAACCTTAGAATTAACCGGAAAAACGTACGGTTCGGATGGTCGATACCGACCATTTTCCCGGTTAATTGTGAGGTTAACCGACGGTTTTTCTGCTGTGTGGCTATGGTTTCAGCTGAAATAACCGCGGCTGACCGTCGGTTCTTAAGATAATCATGGTTAACCGACGGTTTTCGTCCGGTTTCGACAACATGGGGTGGGGCTGCCCTTCAAAGATGAATGAAATTATTTTTATATAAACATTAAAAGTGGTAAAAATGAATAACAATTGACTACGAAATTACTTAATGTGCAAGAAAACCATACGTTTTGATTACTGCTGAAATATCAGGACGCTGCATTAACGTTAGAGTTACCAGACACGGATAGATATCAACGTTTATCAGAGACATCTATAGGAAGTTGAAGGAGTATTTCATCCTCTTTTGTTTCATACAGATAACTTTGCTTCATGTAAGCGACATAAGACTAAAAAATGTGCAGTTATTCTATGCGATCAAGACAGGCAATTTTCCTAAATTTGACTGGTTAACATTTTTTGCCAGTGTGCAAAAGTTAGACACATGGCTGCATGTTGCCATGTGATAAAAAAGGGGATTGTACTCTACATTTTGTTTACATGCTTGTCCTATAGTAAAGGATTCAGCGAGGGTTTAAAATTGGATGTTTGTTAAATTGACAATATCGTCGAAGACGTTTTCTTATGTTAATAATTGAATTTAACATTCGTTATGTCATCTGAAGAAGAACATCAAATCCGTGTGATCGTATTGAATGAAAATGCTTCGCAAACAGCCGGTTTGAATTGTTTAAAAAAATCGTGGCACGTTAAATTTGTGTTAGCACCGAGTTTAGTTGGTAAAACTGTTCGCTTATTTACTGATTGTCCGTTACAAAAAGGATCCCCATTTAAACGTCATGAATATTCTGAATTAAAATGGGTGACTCCTTCAAAATTTAAATATGATAATTCCGATCGATATGTTACATTCGAATGTTTATTACCTGGAACATTTCATTATTATTATACAACTAATAATAGCAATGAATTTCTTAATACGGGTGCAAACACCGGATACCTGTTAGTCGAGCCTCAATTAAAATTTGATGATGGTGAAGAGTTACCAATCGATTGTATACAATGTCTAACACAATTATCAAAATCATTGGGTAATTTTGAAGATTGGGAGGGACGATTAGAAATTAGTAAACATACTGGTTATAATATGATTCATTTTACACCAATTCAAAAGCTATACCACGTATCAAACTCATCCTACTCTATTACGGATCATCATAAACTGAATCCTCTCTTCGGTGAAGGAGTTACATTTGATCATATCAAACAGTTAGTAGATAAAATGTCAAAAGAATGGAAAATATTATCAATTACTGATTTGGTCTATAATCATGCGGCAAATGATTGTGAAATACTGAAAAATCATCCAGACTCTGCTTATAATCTTATTAATTCTCCACATTTAAAACCTGCCTTTCTTCTTGATTCCATATTGATGCAATTTACAAAAGATGCTGAACAAGGTTTGCTGGAAAAAGAATATGGGATACCAGCTAAAATTGAGGAACATCATTTGGATGTTATTCAACATTATTTAGCCGAGATTGTTATACCCAAATACCGACTACACGAATTTTATATGTGTGATGTTAAACAAATACTTAAAGAGTTTCGTGCACAGATCAAAAATTTATCACGGGATGAATCATCAAATATTGATGAGTCAGGATTAAAACTGATACACAATAATTATAGACGGTTGGAGTCAACAGTGGATATGGAATTAGCTATTAAATTGTATTATCATCAATCAATTGAAGATGCTTGTCAAGCACTAGAAGACCGTCTCATCTATTTGAATCATTTAAAAATGGATGAAATTGAAAACGATTTAAAACGAGCCATAAGCTGTTGTATTGATTCGAGTCGTTATCATTTTTTTGAATCACATGGTCCACGCTATCCACAAATATCAATAAGAACACCGTTTGTCGGTAATAATTTTGCTTATCCAAATGATGAATTTCGACATCCCGATGATATTGAGAAAATTCTTGATACTAATAATGAAGACTATTTAAAATACTGTATGGCACACAATGGTTGGGTAATGAATACTAATCCATTGAAAAATTTCGCTGAAGATGTTTTAGGACCCAATGTTTATTTGAGGCGAGAATTAATACAATGGAGTGATATAGTTAAGTTGAGATTTGGTGATAAATATGAAGATTCACCTGCTTTATGGGATTATATGAAAGAATATACTCGACTGATAGCAACAACCTTTCATGGTGCACGATTAGATAATTGTCATTCAACACCAATTCATGTTGCACAGGTGCTCAATTTCTAATTTTTAGTAATCTATTCATTATTCTAATTTATTTGTTCTAGTATTTTATGGATTATGCACGTAAAATAAATCCAAATTTTTATGTTGTTGGTGAATTATTTACGGGTGATGAAAATATTGATACTATATTTGTTAACCAATTGGGAATCAATTCACTTGTTCGAGGTAGATTTCATATTTTTTGTTGCTAAAAATCTATATATCACACATTTATTTTATTCAATAATAGAATCGTTGAATGCATGGGATGGTTTTGAATTTGGTCGTTTAATATCTCGTTATGGTGGTGATGTGCTTGGTACATTTTCTCAATCATCAAGCCGTTTTCTTAGACCCACAGTACCTCACGCCTTTTTCTACGATCAAACACATGATAATCCCTGTCCCATTGAACGTCGTTCTCTAGAAGATGTATTACCAAGAAGTGCACTCGTTACCATGACTTGCTGTGCTATTGGCTCTAATCGAGGTTATGACGAATTAGTTCCACATCATATCGATGTTGTACATGAGAGACGTTTTTATTCAAAATGGAAGGAACCAACTGGTCTAATTGAAGCCAGATTAATTTTAAATCGATTACATACATATTTGTGCAAAGAGAATTATTCTCAAATATTAGTAGATCTACTATCATCATCAGTAGTTGTTATCACTAGACATAATCCTCAAACTCATACATCTATTTTATTAATAGCTCATACAGCATTTAAACCACAAAACGAACATGAACGAATAAAATCATTAAATATTCAAGGACACATTGATGAAATACTATTTGAAATGAATATATCAACAAAACATCAAGATATTGTTAAAAATTTTCAACGTAATTCATCGTATATCAATGGCCTAGATAATGTTGATGTAACAATTCGCGAACATGTACCTGTTGATCAAAGTTCATATATTCAAATACGCTTACCAGCAAATGATCAAAAACTCAAACATATAGAATTTAATCAAGATAAATTTGTGCCCGGTACAGTTATTGCATTTAAAATCTCACTATTACCAAATATCAAAGAAGCTATTGTACAGTTAAATAATTGCCAACAAGAATTTACATCATCTAAATCTAAGTTTCAATTAATTGTCAAATCATTGTCTTTAATTGATTTGAATCGTGTTTTATATCGTTGTTCACCAGAAGAAATAGCCGATGAAAATGATTTTGATGTTTATGGAATACCTGAACATGGGAAATTAAATTATTGTGGATTGCAAGGTTTAATGTCGGAGTTAGATAAAATAAAAATGAAAAATGATCTAAAACATCCTCTATGTCAAAATGTAAAAGAAGGCAACTGGCTCATTGATTATGTTGCTAATCGTTTATTAGCTGATAAATCAACAGAACAATTAGGTCAATGGTATAAACACTATTTTTCCTATTTAATTGAAATTCCGCACTATTTACAACCATCTTATTTTGATTTGATTATACGTGGATCCTATACGTGTCTCGTCAAACATGCTTATGAAGTTATGGGAACTGAATTTATCCTTCAAAGTTCACAGTTTGTTAAACAGTTGGCCATGGGTTCAGTTCAACTATGTGGACATGTTAAAAATGCTCGATTACCTCTATTATCACCAAATTTAAATGATCCTAAACCAGATACAATCGTTGATGAGCATACACACGTTAAATATTCACAATCGTGTCCAACACTGGCTGCTGGTTTACCCAATTTTAGTGCTGGAATTTGGCGTAATTGGGGTCGAGATACATTTATTGCTATGAGAGGTTTAATGTTAATAACAGGTCGCTATATACAAGCAAAATATTTGATATTAGGTTATGGTGGATGCTTACGTCACGCTCTGATTCCAAATTTACTAGGTGATGTTGGAATAGCGAGATATAATGCTCGTGATGCTGTTTGGTGGTGGTTACATTCAATTTCAGAATATACTCGTATGGTTCCCAATGGAACAGACATTCTTCAAGATCAGATTGCTCGTCTTTATCCAACTGATGACAGTCCAATGCAACTGGCATCTGGTGCTTATGATCAACCACTATACGAAGTGATACAAGAAGTATTGATGAAACATGTGAGCAAATTAAAATTTCGAGAACGAAATGCCGGTTATCAAATTGATCGAGTAATGACTGATAATGGATTTAATAATGAAATTGGTATAGATTTGAATACAGGATTTGTTTATGGTGGTAATGTTAATAATTGCGGTACTTGGATGGATAAAATGGGGTCTAGTGAAAAAGCTGGTAATATTGGTCATCCTGGCTCGCCGCGTGACGGATCTGCTGTTGAATTAATTGGTCTCTGTCGTTCGGTTCTCAAATGGTTGTTAGAAATGAATAAACAAGGTGTTTATCCTTACAATTCTGTTGACAAAATTATTACATTTCATGAATGGATTGAAAAAATTGATTTAAATTTTGAAAAATATTTTTGGATTGGTGAAAATGATAATTCATCACCATTTATTAATCGACATTCAATTTATAAAGATACGGTGAATTCAACATTAAAATGGAGTGATTATCAATTTCGGCCAAATTTTTTAGTAGCAGCCGTTGTTGTACGTAATAGATTTTGTATGAATCTGCCGCAGAAAAATTTTTCGTCTTAGTATTGAGTTTCTGTGTGTTCATCGGGAGTAAAAAAACTACGGCTTATATAACACTATTATGTATCTGTTTTACATGTTCGTTTGAAAGTAGAAACTAAAATAACAGGCTATAACTGTATGATTAGTGAAAATGAAAATAGGATCAAAGATCGTTAGGCGTTGCATTATTTTGAATTATTAGCTACTTGTACATATTTTAGGCGCCAGAAATGTTTAATTCTACTCATATTTGGCAAGCATTGACTCAGGTTGAATTAATTCTCTTGGGCAAATATGGTATCAAAACATTGGATCCTAGTGATTTAAATTACGTTGGTATTTATGATAATAATGATGAAGGATATGATTTTAAACGTGCTCATGGTTTTAATTATCATAATGGTCCCGAATGGGTATGGTTAATGGGCTATTACTTGAGAGCCAAATTATATTGGGCAAAAGTACTTGATAAGGATCAAAAACATCAGCATATATTATCGCAAACAATTGAACATATTCAACAAATATTAACCAATCATCAACAATTTATAAATGCTAATGATTGGAAAGGTTTAACAGAGCTAACATCGGAAAACGGTGAATTTTGTAAAAATTCATGTCCTGTACAAGCATGGAGTATGTCAACATTATTGGAGACAATGTACGATCTTAAAACACTGTAGTGAAAAGTTATATATTTATAGAACTTTTTTTTTCTATCGCTGTACCCGTAAGTGATATCGTAATCATCTGTTGTGTTGATATCATTGTAAGTGATATCAACACAACAGATGATTAACAATTTTGCATTTTTTTCAGAAATACACAAGTTTACCGGTGTTCGTGTTTTTTTCTTTTTCCTATGATCATGTATTTGTTTGTATACGCACTTTTCATAGACTTCAAGAGTTTTAACTAACTCTATTATCTTTTTGTTTTATTTGCTTGAGTTAGATTTGTTTTACATGATAATTTGTATTACACTACCATTTTTCTATTTTTTTTACGTATAATAGTTTAAAAGATATACGGGACAAAATAAATTGTTATTTCAGCCATACATATGTTCTGAATATGGATCATGACACAAGAATTAAAACTATTCAAAGGAACAGCTTGTTTTATAATATATTCTAAGAATCAGAAGAAAGATCACAAATTACTGGAAAATACGTATCTAGTGGAACCTATGCTAAAGTTTCACCAGCTGACATAAGTTATTTCCGAATTATCGATGACAAACCGTTGAAAATTGACAAAAATATAATTTTTAGATGGCTAATTAACGACATTATTAGAAATAAAAACAATAATACAGCCCTCTTAACAAGATCTTTCATTTGCTTTATGAAAAATATCTAATTAACATTTGATGGTATTTACTTTATACAGAACTACTTATTCTGTAGAACAATATCACATATGAATTTAGTTTCCATATGCTGTGGATATTTTACCTAATTTTGTATCATAAGAACAGACATTCATTTTATCGGTACTTCACCTAAAAAATAGTAACGCTGATAAATGTGGCACGGTTTTTGGAAACTTACGGAAAGATACTCTTAAACTTCAAACAGCTGCATTGTGTCCAGGTCCAAAAATCCTGGCCCGTCACCCCCAGGTGACATAGACGTCGAATTAACTAATTGAATTTCATTAGTGAACATCGAAGAATCGCTATAACAAGGTGATGATGTGACTTATCTAAAAAAGAATTTTTTTCTAGCGTAACTTGACACCGTAAGGTAGCAGTTGCTTAGAAGAAAAATTTATTTTACTAAGCCTAATCAAAGGTATAAGAGTTTCAAGTTCGGTTGGCATGATGAATTGTCGGGGGTAAAGGACTAGCAGGAAAAAGATTTTTAAACCGGGCGAAAGGCAAGTTTCTCAAAAATTAGGAATTTCCGCCTGTTTTTACATAATATTAAAAAGTTTACTATTCACTCAAAAAACACTAGAACGAATTCAAAAATACAGGGTATGGTTATTTTTAGTCGCTAAACATGATTATAAGAGAGAAAAGATTGAAATGGCATATTTTTTGTTTAGAGGCTTGCTAAGAGTCCTGTTGGAAAACCAAGAGTTCTCTGAATTCTTTTTTTGTACATTTCTTATAAATAGAATATAAAACAGTCTAAATACTGCACTTCTGAGGTTTTGGACTCGTTCTAGCGTTTTTTGAGTGAATAGTAAATTTTTTAATATTAGTGGAAAACATGCGGAAATTGCTAATTTTCGAAAAACTTGACTTTCGCTCGGTTTTAAAATCGTTTTCTAAAAACAAATATTGCCACAAAACCCACGAGGGAACATTCTCAAGTGAGGCACTCCGATTTTGTTCAAACCTGGCAATTTATATGTAATCAAGGGTATTGATTACGAATATAATAGCCGTTTGCACCCATAGACCTTTTCTAGCGTTTCTAAACGGCTATCATATTCGTAATCAATACCCTTGATTACATATAAATTGCCAGGTTTGAACAAAATCGGAGTGCCTCACTTGGGAATGTTCCCTCGTCAGCATGATTGATTACCTATAGTCCACCCGTTATCGAGGTTATGAATCGTCGCGGGGTACAACTGGTGGCACTCCACAAAAATTCGACACTATACCTAAACCACTGGAAATCAAGATCTCGCTTGACTTCCATTTTGAAGTGAACACTCTGAGATATCAGTCCATGAAAAACAATCAATATAATCCTATTAGACGTATCTGCGACGCGATCGGATTTTTCGAAGGACTCCTGCAAACCTATTTAAGGTACCTTTCTGAAAAGATTTCCTGTGATGGAAATATGTGCGCAAGTTCTCTTTTTTGAATGATGGAAATCGCAAGTCTCTATCTCATTTCTATCAAAAATTATTCAAAAACAACCAGGGATCTTATAATTTGAAAAGGATAGTAGTCCTGTAGTATTCCTACCATACAAAAATTTGACATCATCTGTGAGAAATTATATACTAGAGTTCTATCAGTTCCCACGGTAGGAAATCGTAGGATCGTATAGTAGGAAATGATAGAATTTCAATTCTAGAAATCTTCAATTCTAGGAGGCATTTCCCAAATTTTCGTTTAGTTTCTCAGTGACAACTTCATATAAAGAACACCAATTACATTGAGATTTTTAAGCATTTTTCTTAGCGTTTTCGACAGCTGTGTCAGAGAATAAAGTTCAGCTACTCTCACGGAAATATATTTCAGAGTGGCTAAATAGACACGACTGGTTCCAGTTCTAATGAAACACCGCAATTAAATAAATGTCAAATATATGAAATGAAGAACAAGACTGACTAGTCAAAGAATCTTATGATATGACTCTATAGGATTTCCGTAAATTGCTACCATTTCCCATGCTAGAATCTTACCTCTACTCCTATTACGACCCTAGCAGATCCTCCTATAACTCTGTTGTAAGAATAATAGCATACATTTACTGATAACACCAGACAACTATCACTTTCCTATAGAAATCCTACAAGAACTAGTGGAATTTGTGTGGAATTCCTATAGGAATTCTACAGAATCCTATCGTCGGATTATTCGATCTGACTGATTGTTATCATTTGAATAGACAATATTCTTGTTTATATAACGGGTGTCCCATAAATAATGGCACTGTTTGTATTTTGCGCTGTTCTCTATCAATTTTGATAGTTGAGACTTGAACTTTTTTCTGAAAGATAGCCCATTCAATTCTCGACAAGATCATATGAAAAGAGTTCCTGTAAAATACAATGGTGAAATGCTATGCAGCCAACACCAGTATGCGTCTGAAGAGAACCGTTACAAATGTCCTTGCCCTAAAATTAAATATCGTGCTCCGTCTGGTCACGAAGACGCCAAGTCACCCTGGTGCACGTTTTCCTATGTTTCCGACTGTGTTCTCATAGCGCTCAAAACAAGTAGGTCGAATTAGATGATGAAGGGGTAATGTTTATTTCCCTTGAAAACTTGCTTGGATTGAATGAAGGTTTCAATCCTGCACTCTCTCTATTGCACAAAATTTTATTTTATACCTGTTTGGTCTTTGATAGAAGAAGCGTTTTTCTTTAGATTGGTAAGAGGCTTGACCATAAGAATTACGTTTTGACTAACTAAATCGTCGTTACGAACAAGTTCAGCAGTAAATTAGAAGAGATCAACATGGTAGAAGAAAGAGTAAGGCGATCTTCAGTCTAGTTCAAGCATCAGAATTTTTCAATTGCGACTCGTCTTATAGGGCTTTTTGAGAGCTGCAAAACGGCATATTCAGCCTGTCAATATTCAGTCAAATAGTGGCATAATCTTCACAAAACGCAACCGTTAGTTTGAAAGTGTACCTTTTCGGAGCATGTATGTGTTGGCTGCACAGGATTTCACCATTGTATTTTACAGGAACTCTTTTCATATGATCTTGTAGAGAATTGAATGGGCTATCTTTCAGAAAAAAGTTCAAGTCTCAACTATCAAAACTGATAGAGAAAAGCGCAAAATACAAACAGTGCTATTATTTATGGGACACCCATTACCTGCGTATTCGTTGAACGAATCGCAATGACGATATATTCTGTAGACTGAAATATTGTATTTGATAATATTAAAATAATAATATGAAGTTGACATGTTTAAGATATTTCTCAATAAAACGACCGGAGGCCAGTGTTTAGAAGCGTTTTACATTTAGAAGAGCTTGCAAAAAATAGTTTTTGATTATTTTCCGATACATTTAACTAAGTTATAGAAAAACACGTGTATATCTACGGAAAAAGAGACAACAAACTAGATGCCAAACAGCGCACTGCGAAGATTGGAAGACGACTAAGTGAAACATAATTTGAGACACTTCGTTTTTCTATTAGCCGCAGCTAATGTAAAAATTAAGCGCAAAATTTTTTTCTGACTTATGATGCATCATTGGATAGCTGAATACGAATGTGGTTTTTAATTTTTTCAGTCACTTTTTTCGTGTTAAAAATCCAAAACTCTTTCGTTTTTGTTAACGCTGAGTTTTTCGATTTCTGTTCCAACATGGAATGTTCTAAGTAGTTTTTTCTGATTCAGTATCGAAAACTGAATTAGAAAAT